ATTATAATAACAAATCTCAATTATCGTCACTATTTACTAATACAAAGGAAAGAATTGGAGGCTATGTTTACATCAGTGATTTTATTCAAATGAGCATTAATTCGCCCTAAATTAAAAGTACATTTAAAAGAACACACATTTCACCAATTAGTGATTTTTATTTATAAAAAAAGTAAAGCGTAGTTTTTTCAATAAATATTATTGAGATAATAAAAGACCAATGTCATCATTTATGCAAAACAAACACATAAAAGAACCAATTTGTCATGGATAAAAAAAAAACAATCCAATAAAAAAATGTGAATAAGTTAGGGTTTTTGATTCTGGAAATCACTCAAATTCCCAAATGCAGCAGATGTAACTTATCCCAAAAAAATTGATTTTAAAAGGATCGTCACTGATCAACTGTCTTTACACTTCTTCCCGTGGCGGCTGTTCCTCCAGTTGTTGTTGACGCCTTTTTTGCTCCTTTTTAACGGATTCTAATAATGAAGTATCAACAACAAAATCTTCAATAAATATTCTAAAACTTTCCAATTCTCTAATTCTTTCCGAGAGTATCTCAGGTGCTGTAGAACTCCCGGGTTCTGTAGGAGTTTCGGTCACTGCAGAACTCTTAGAATTCTCGAGTTGTTCTTTCGTGACAGACTCCAAAATTGGTATGAGGCTAACTTTGGTCTCCCTTCTGAATCCGCAGCATCCGGTGTGTATAAAACCCCATGGTTTCATGGATTCAACCCCTAAAATTTTGAAATAAATGAGTGAGTAAATTATGGTACACATTGATTTGGCTAAAAAAAAAGTCAAATTACCAAATAAAAAGACATAAATGAATACAATAGTACTGTAGTATGCGGCTATGGTTCCTAATGCGGTTATCAACTATTTATCCAAATAATAATAATGGGCGATGATCACTACGTTGTATAATAGATTTTCAAAAAATGATAATATTTTACTTACAGTACTGTGCCTATTATATAATCATTATTTGTAAAGCTATGTGTTAATAAAATATTAACAAGATGATCAAATTAATTTTATTTGATGGATGGTTTTTACCTTTGTTCTTGTTCCTCTTCTGTAATAAAGTTATGCGGACTAATACGTATAGTCAGGAAAGCTGTGTTAGAAGGTTGCGCTGGGACATTCTCTGTGATTATTAATCAACAACACAAGCAACATTAGGTTAAAAATGTGTACGTGATGATATAAGACTTTTAAAACAAATATTCTTACGTATAGTTGATTCAATATAATGTTGTGTAAAGTAATTTTGAGGTGGAATGCCCACGTAATTCAAAGGTGTCGTAATCAACGTCTTTCTGGTTTTACTAGAGTATCCTAGTTTAAACAACTATTGATTTTTTGATAAGTTTTTTAACTATTGTCAATTTGAAAATTCGTCATCTTTCTCAAGTACACTTACAAGATTTCCTGTTAAAGTATACTTATTCATATAGAAAAGTGACTCTTCATATGGAGACATCGAAGGATCAAAATATTTATGCTCAGTATCATATTCATATTCATTTTCTATTTATTTATGGCATGGCATATTATTATCAATACAGCAAAATATAAACAAGATCTGCCATCAA